AAATCGCACGTAAGTGTATAATTTTGTGTTATTTATTGCTGTGGGCTGTTAATTGATGAGAAGGTGTTCAATCCGTTATTAACAGTCAGGAGACCCTTTTTTTAGAAATTTCATAGCTAAATGTTTGATATTCAATCAAACAAAAGTAAAAAGGGTATAATGAACACTCATGCTTTTAAAAGTTTGCTTATTCACTCTATTTAGCTTTTTTCCCTTACTTTTTTTTATTAAATTGTATTTCATTAAAATTTTGTGTACCTGTTGGAAGTAGGTTAGTCGCCAATCTACCCTTGAAATAATTCACGTTACAAATTCCCTTGGAAACAAGGAGCTAATATCTTCTGTTGTAATTAGTACGAGGGTAACACAAAAAATTCGAATCGAGCGGAAATGCTTGGAAGATGAAAGCGGAACAGAAAGGACATTCATGGATGTGATGACCGACAAAATGTTGAGGATTTCGTAATAGGCGATGGACACTTTAAAAGGTAACAGGAATAGCATAAAATTCCACGACCATTTGGGAATGAATCGAAGGAAGGTGGGGCCCAACAACATTCGGTCGTCCACCACCAGCTAGCATCGAGTTGAATCTGTTCCATCCTACTGGGAGCTCAATGGAGAAAAACCGGTGGAGGTGTTCAGGACAATTATAACCGGAGATGAAACTATGTACCTCTAAAAGGAGTCGATGGAATTGGGAAAGAAAAGGAGAAGCAACGCTCATAAAGTTCAGAGTTTATCAGTCGATATTCTGAGGGCAAATTGACCAGAGACGTGCCGCAGAGGTGAAAGCTGCAGTTTGGGCGCATTTTGAGGACAAACCAAGGGACTTTTTAAGCCAATTGAAAAGTTGAATTGAAGTATTGAAAAGTAACATGTAATAAATTGTTAATAATTTTCATTAAAGCGCACAACGGTACATTATCCTCCGGATATCCAATTGGAGTATGGCAATTTTCCCTTTTAAATCCCACGTAATTCTGGCGCTTTCGAAGCCGACTGTTCCAAAACATAAATCTCGTATTAAGTCGTAGTCTTATTCCCTTCGTGCGATTCTGCGACATTGTGTTGTTCTTTTCCCTTATCTCGCAACAATAATTATCAATAAATCTCTCTTCTGAAAGCGAAAACAAAACTTAATGACTAATTAAAGCGGCTCCTCGTTATTTATGTATCTCAGCACTGTATCGCGAAAGAATTATTGCACCTACGTTAAATTCATTTCAAAAGACGTAAATTAGCAAAATTTGTAGCCCGTGACTAACTAAAGCAGTTCGTAACTGTTTAAGCTGTTTAACATGGATATCATTAGAGAAATTAATTACAAGGATTACGTCCACGACCTTTAGCCTAAACCACAAATATCGCGGGGTTTACGAGGGTATTTAATTACTTTCCTTTTTCAAATAAATTATAACACACTTACGTAAGTGTATATGAATAATATATTATGTACCTACTCGCTGGTCTAAAGTGGTTTTAGCAGCGCATTTGCTGACGAAATTTAACATGAAGGATTTACATATCACAAACGTTGTTCTGATGGGGAAAGCTTATCTTGATTAAGTATTTAAAAAAACTCAGATTTTCAACCGCGACGCATTGTAATGCATGTCAAAAAACGTTCAGCTAATTTAAAAATTTATTTGTTGGACAAGAGCCCTTACAAGACAAAGCTTTCACGAATTGACGGAGTTGACAAACGCAATCAACAAAAGGTGCTCTCTTTCACAAATTCAGTAGATTAATGGAGCTAGTGATAATTTTAAAAAAGATAAAGACTATATTAGAAGGTACAGCAAGAACACTCGATTTTTGAGCCTCGAAAATCAGCACTGAGTTCAGAGTCCAGAGAAATGATTGAACTGGCATAGTTCTAGGGCCATATTTCTTTAAACTGGCCGATGGAATTCCTGCAATTATTCCAGCTCTACCAATGATGTAATAGGGTTGCAGCCAGGGGCGGACTGGGTAACTGCGGGCCAGGTGGAATTGCATAGGTTACGGGCCATTAAAGTATTAGTGTAGTGTAGTAATGATGGGGGGGTTAGATCTGAGGTGCACCACAAAAACATTTTAAAGTACTCCTCTCTTGAAAATAAATTACCACACAGTCTTTTTTTAATTGCAGCTGATAATTAAAAGTAACAAAATATACAATCCACACGAGGTGCGTCGCCTATCATTGTATTTCACCACTTTCATGCTACGACAAAAAATTATAAATTCATTGTAAAACACTTCAATTAAAACAGAATTTTTTAACAACCTAACATCAACCCCAATTAGAGAAACGTGTTAATAATTTATTAATAGTGCAAGAAACTAAATACAGCACATACTTATAAATTTCCAACGGGCCATTATGATCTACAGGCCAGGTGGCAATCGCCACCCGCCCCCCCGGGCCAGTGCGCCACTGGTTATACACTGTCTTTTTTTGAGCCCTGAAAAAAACATTGTCTCAGATCGCCTCGGAAAAAAATTTTCTTATTGAATGTGGCCTGTAGAATCCATAATTTCAAACAGTTCCAAGATTGGGCTACTAGTTCAAAAGTTACAGCCCTTTGAATTTTCTTTCGAAATTGGTCTAAAAGTTACAGCCCTTTGAATTTTCTTTCGAAATTGGTTTCTAGTCTATAACTTTTGATTGAGAAGTCTGATCGAAAAAGAACGAATTGTTTTGGATTCTACGCACCAAAATTAATAAGAAAAAGTGTTTTCCCGAGAAATTTTGGTGCAGTCGATTTTTGGTAAAAAAGGAAGGTTATACACTGCCTTTTTTTGAGGCTCCGAAAAAAAATTGTCTCAGATCGACCCGGAAAAAAATTTTCTTATAGAATGTGGCCTGTAGAATCCATAATTTCAAACAGTTCCAAGATTGGGCTACTAGTTCAAAAGTTACAGCCCTTTGAATTTTCTTTCGAAATTGGTTTCTAGTCTATAACTTTTTATTGAAAAGTCTGATCGAAAAAGTACGAATTGTTTTGGATTCTACGCACCAAAATTAATAAGAAAAAAGTGTTTCCCCGAGAAATTTTGGTGCAGTCGATTTTGGTTAAAAAAGGAAGGTTGTACACTGCCTTTTTTTGAGGCCCTCAAAAAAAATTGTCTCAGATCGACCCGGAAAAAAAATTTTCTAATAGAATGTGGCCTGTAGAATCCATAATTTCAAACAGTTCCAAGATTGGGCTACTAGTTCAAAAGTTACAGCCCTTTGAATTTTCTTTCGAAATTGGTTTCTATCTATAACTTTTGAATTGAAAAGTCTGATCGAAAAAGTACGAATTGTTTTGGATTCTACGCACCAAAATTAATAAGAAAAAAGTGTTTCCCCGAGAAATTTTGGTGCAGTCGATTTTGGTTAAAAAAGGAAGGTTGTACACTGCCTTTTTTTGAGGCCCTCAAAAAAAATTGTCTCAGATCGACCCGGAAAAAAAATTTTCTAATAGAATGTGGCCTGTAGAATCCATAATTTCAAACAGTTCCAAGATTTGGCTACTAGTTCAAAAGTTACAGCCCTTTGAATTTTCTTTCGAAATTGGTTTCTAGTCTATAACTTTTGATTGAGAAGTCTGATCGAAAAATTACGAATTGTTTTGGATTCTACGCACCAAAATTAATAAGAAAAAGTGTTTTCCCGAGAAATTTTGGTGCAGTCGATTTTTGGTAAAAAAGGAAGGTTATACACTGCCTTTTTTTGAGGCCCTCAACAAAAATTGTCTCAGATCGA